CACTGGTTAAGACAGTCTTAGTTCTTTTCTGATAATTTGACAGCTTGTCTTTTTATATAAATGCAAAGGCCATTACACATCATTAATGCCATTGAACAGCATATTGTATGTGTTTGCAGGGCACATATGCAACAGTGTTTAAGGGTCGTAGTAAACTAACGGATAATCTAGTGGCTCTGAAAGAAATCAGGCTGGAGTATGAAGAAGGCGCACCTTGCACCGCCATACGAGAAGGTACAGTGCGTTTAGGATGCATTAAATAGATTGAAAATAACTAAAAATGTGTTTACAGACGTCTTTAGAAATTTGGATCAGTTTCTAATGAATGCCGTATCATTCATCAAAGAATCCTGCATACAGTTTTCATCTTGTGCTTTCTGAAGTACTTGCCATAGGTATTTGGCTTGTAGGTCACTTCTCACAGACTTTAATAAGATCTGTTTCCACAACAGATCAACAACTCCAACTTAGTTCATCCACCCATAATGCTCATTTCAAATAATTTACCGTCTAATCTTGATTTGGGATATTTACCAGCAGAATCTGAGAGTTTTGCCTTCAGTCTCATAGATAAAGCTGGTGTTTAGAGTGTACCGTTCAATGCAGCTTCTAGCTGAGACTGATTTGTTTATGGGAACATTTTTTATTTGTGTTTGGCCATTATTAAAACCAAAATTTAACTAGATAGCATTTAGTGACTTGGTAGATATACAAGTGTACTCAAGGGTCTAGTATTCTTAATGCATGTATATTGCTCTTGGGATTATTTAACACAATTTTCCTAGTAGACTACAGTAACCGTGCCAGGCTGTAAGTGTAGAGAACGATCACTTCTTGTGATGTTTTAATTGATGCTGATTTGATGTGATGATATTTCTCTCTCTGTCAGTGTCTCTTCTGAAGAACTTGAAACATGCCAACATTGTCACCCTCCACGACATCATTCACACAGAGAAGTGCCTTACACTAGTCTTCGAGTACTTGGTGGGTGACGTGCATATATTTTATTCATCTAATTTTGTCCACCTAATTCTAATTAATTTGTGCTCTGTCTTTTCCAGGAGAGGGACCTCAAACAGTATTTGGATGACTGTGGGAGCATAATGAGCGTTTATAATGTAAAGGTTAGGGGCGAAGACAT